CCCCTTTGAACACCCCCCTTTCCTTGGACCCTCCCAAACCCAGCCCCCCCCCCCCAAAACAACCTTGCAACCCCCCTTCAACTCCCTTTTGGGTCAGGACCCCCAATTTGAGAAATGCTGGTCTCCCCTGTGAAATCTGTGTAGTATAGGTTAAAGCACACAACACCAGATTTCACGGGGAGGAGACCAGATTTCACGGTCTCTGACATGTTCTTCATGGACATGACTTTGGTAGGGCCCTAGTGATGACCCTTAATTTTTAAATAAACAAACAAACATTGGAGGGTTGTGGGGAATTCCAGAGGGACTAGCCAGTGGGAACACAGCAAGTGTTCTAATTAACTAAAAGGTGATTAGCCCCTTTCTTTCTGGATTAAAATATTGTGCAAAGCACAAAACTAGCAATCATTTTCTTTCTATGTTTCACCATAGCTTTATTTTAAATTGCTTTACATTTACATTGTGTTAGTGTATGGTAAGGTTTTAAGGATCTCTTTTTGCTATATCTGTCTCATTTCACTTTTGCTTATGTTTACTTCTAAAACGTTAGGAAATCATTTCAAGAAAGGCAGGTCCCAGCTGCTGAATTTGGAATGGGATCCTAGTTCAGAACATCTTTGCGTCGGGGGAAGCAAATAAAAAAAACCCACCGAGTTTAATATGAAACAAAACACTAAACCTGGGAGTCTTTCCTACTGCAATCAAGTGCATTGCTAACAAGCCAAAAGATATTAAAAAATAAATAACAGCCGGTGGGGTGACTTTTCTGGTCAGGAAAAACAGGATATTTCTCTGTGTAATTTCCAAATGTAATTCTAAAGTTTAAGTAGGCAGCGCTAAGACCATATGTTAAAGGGGGCTGTTAGATCCTGGATGGCACAATGACAAGTGTGGGGAGGTATATTTATTGTGAGAGTAAATATTCTTGGAGAAGAATGAACTGGGACCATGCTAAAGATTATAAATACACTTCCAGACTGTTTCTCTTGGTCTCAATCTCTATTCCATCCCCTCCTCTTCCCTTTGTTATGCAAGGCCTCATTCATTTCACTGGACATCTTGACAGTATTGAATCAGAGTTCAACAGAAGCAATCATTGATAGCAATTCATAGGGTTCATAAATTCATAGCCAGAAATTAGGCTTTTTTTTTTTAACAGTACTTCTGCAGAGTGAGTAATTTCACTGATTCACGTCTTAACTTTATCATTTTTGTGCTCACTGTTTAGTGGGAGGAGGAGGATTGGCAAGAGAATATGTGCTGAATGCAGAATGACTAATGCAAGTTTACATTATATGTCATCTTAATGCTAATTTCCATCTGGGAGAGAA